TCTTCCACTTACTATCCACAAATTGTGAAGGCCTATTGTTCACCCCTCTCAGTTTTTTTTTTCTTATTTCTGTAATAAACCATCTGGGTATTCTTTAAAAATTATTTTTGATTGGAGTGATTACTAAATTAAACGCCTTTATTTATTTATTTTTTTAGCAATGTTGCCAAAAGCTGAGCAAATTGTGTTTTCTTCTTAAAGAAGGGGTACTCTATAAAATAAAGATAAGTATGTTTTTCAGAAATAATGAAACAAATTCTAGAAAATTGTGGGTGGGTTAGCTATTCATGACTGAGGCTATTTTTGTTTTTATTATTTCCTGAAGGGCATAGGTAGTCTGTAGCGTGAGTTATTGAATAAACAAATCGAGTTCGCTTCAGTCCTTACTTGTTTTTTATCAGGATTTTCAGCAGCAATGTGCTAAGTGATACCTCACCCCTTCCACATCCTGCCCAGTCCCGGATGCAGTGGGAAAAAATGCAGCAGATGCCAACTAGGAAGCTCCACGGGCACATGCAGCTTTTGGCTGAAGTTCTGTTTATCTGTATACTTTGGCGAAGCAGGGGGGAAAAAAAAAGAGAAAAAGAACAAAGGTTCTTGTTTAAGATAATCTATTATAGGTGGGAATGAAAGGAAAGTTCTTCTAAGCTCTTTCAAATCGGATTAGGATACTCGCTGTCCTGTCCACATCTTGCTTCTTTCTTTCTTATACAGTCCCCACCAAACGCATCTGTGCACCCAGGTCGTTGATGGTCACCTGCCTGGAATGCCCTTTCTGTTCTTCTCTTCCTGGTAAAAGCTAATTTATTAAGTTCTAGAGCAGGTTCTTTCTTCTCCTTAGAGCCTTCCCTGACTCTCTACTTAACATGGGTCTCTCCTTGTCCTGCCCATCCTTATAAATGNGTGTTAGCTGTTGGAATTTCATCTTTAGACTACAGCCTTGGAATTATTCCTTTTTTTAAAGGCTTGCTCATCACTAGAAGGAATTATTCTTAACTGTGCTTTTGTGCACATCCCATATCAAATCCGTTGGGATATCCTATTGGCTCTACATTTAAAATACATCTATAACCCAACACTTTTTACCACCATCGCTGGTAAAATACATGGGTTTGAGTCACCGTAATCTTTTGCCTGGACTTCTGCGGTAGCCACCCAACTGGCCTCTCCATTTCAACCCTTGCTCCAGCACAGTCTATTTTTAACAAAGACGGCACAGTGATTTTTTAAGAAATATAAATCAGATCATGTCATTCCTGTGCCTCAGACTGATTTCTCTAATGTCTTTTAATTTCACTCAGAGTAAAAGCCAAAGTCCTTCCAATGACATCATGATTTGGCCCCAGTTATTCTCCGAACTGACGTCCTCCTCCTCTGGGTCTAGGCCATCCATTTCACTCTGGCCTCCTTGCTTGTCTGTAAACGTGCCAGGCATGCTCCTGCTGTGTAGTCCTTGCACAGATTCTTCCTCCTGCCCGGCACATGCTTCCCTCACTCCTTCACCTTCTTCCAGTCTTTGCTGAAATCATAACTTCTCAGAGGGTTCTGCCCTGCTATATATAGTACTACCTTATGTCATTTCTTGTAATTTACTTATTTATTATGTTTTTATCTTTGCCTTCCTACACTGGTATGTAACTTCTGTGAGAGCTGGAATATTTGCTGGTATATTCACTAGTGTACCCCAGACACTCAGAATAGATTCTGGTACATAAGAGGCATTCAGTAAATAAATGACTAAGGCATAAGTGACATACCTAAGTTCAGAGTCTGTGCTTCCATTACACTCTTCAAATTTTATAGCCAGTCAGAATTTGATATCAAAATTTAACATTTCAGAGTTTGGGCTGGTGCCACAAGGAATAAGATTAATGTATCTTGGGTTACAGATATTACTAGGAAATCACCCTCCTGCTTTTTAGTTGATTGATGGATCAATCAACCAACTTTTAAAAAAGAAATTATGAAAACTTTCTGATATGAATTGAGACATTGGAACCTTATTTTATTCAGGTAGTTGGGACAAGGGTAACACATATTTTGTCATTTTGTAGTGTGTAGTCTTTGCAGTTTATGAATTGGATAGTATAAAGGTTAAGAGCATTATTCTACAGCTGGACTACTTGGATGCAAGTTCTGGCATCATCATTTATTCCCTGGGACATCTTGGGCACATTACTTAACTTCTCTGTCCCTCAGTTTACTCATCTGTAAGGTGGGGATGGTATAGTATCTATGTCATAGGCTGTCTGTGAGGATTGGGGATTAATTAACTGAAAGAACTTAGGATACTTCCCAGCACATTCTAAGCACATATAAGAATTTTGTTGTTGCTACTGTTATTGTTTTCTTTTTAAAATTAGATAGAGGTCCTTTATGTATCTCTACAGTCAAGGTTATAATTTTATCCATGTATAACTGAGTCCATGGTTTGAAAGTGTTTTTATATTGCTCTTTTGTCAGCATTTAGTTCCTATTTACAAAAACTTCCTATCGTGGCTTAGAAACCACTATATGCCTGTTCTAGATCATAGATTTATAATGTATCTGAGCATGGGAGTCAGTGATTACAGACTGTGTCCCTCTAAGCATATCATAGGTTAGTGCATCTTCTTAGTGCTTCCATTAAGTGTTTAAGTGAAGTTATTTTACAAACTGCTCCAATGCAACAATGCTATTTTGAGCGGGCATGAAACATCACTAAGGAAGGGGTGTAGCAGAAACTGTCGAGTTACTGGGTTGATTTTTTTGGGGGGGTTAGATTCTCATTCTGAACAGAGGAGATAAGCTTTTAATACAGTGGCTATACAGATTATTTACTTAACCAACAATTTATTGAGTAACCAAGACTCTGTTAAGCTCCAGGGTTACAGAGAATCGTGTAGAACACACAGCTTAGGGAAACACAGAGAGACCAAATCATTATAATATATTTATAATACTTGTGTTTATAACAAATCATTATAATACTTCTGGGATGATTGCTGTCAACATGTGGACACTAACTAGTCCTAGTTGGGCTGCAAATGGCTGTCCTGGTGTTGGTGGTCATCTAACATCCTGATGGGGGAGAGGCCTCATTCTATACCTGGATTTCACCACAGCCGTTTACATGCTGTGTGGCCTTGGACACAGTAATTGATCTCTATAAACCTCAGTTTCCCCATTTGTAAAACTGGGGTATTGATAACCACTGTCAAGCATTGTTTTGAGCATTAGTGATAATGTGTGTAAAGTATGTCCCTGATTCAAAGTGTATACTCCGTGAATGTTGCCTGTTATTATTATTATATCTTTATTGAATATTTAAAGCCATGGAAAAACCCTAAGAATACATCTGTGTATTCCTTTTAAGTTAAGAATTTAAATTGGTGAGAGAGATCGAGACCACTATCATGAAATGCCTGTGTTTAGCGTGCAGGTTACCACCCGTACCTCGGCTGTGTAGTGATGGCTTTAGCAGTTCTGCAGACTCTTCTGGCAGCCTTCAGGCCACCTTTACATGACCCAAGGTATAATTTTTATATATAAATGCTCTTCATGTGGGTATTATTAATTGGCAAACTAATTCCTTTTCAACTGGAAACATTTGCATTTTGTAAAATTCAGTGATAAATTGTATTTACTTTGAAAGACTTTAAAATGTATTTTAGATACCTAACTTTCAGGCAATAGGGGAAATCACATGCTTTTTATTCTTTTAGGAACTAATTGTAGTTCCATCACTTTTAAGAATACTGTCTGGTTCTTTATTTTGGTAGAAGGCAAATGTTTAACTGGACTCACTGGAGTATGGGAACAGCTGCTAGAATAATAGCAGGTGAGTAATTGTGATGCCACTTATGCATATATAATTGCTGGTTGTTTATATTGCAAGTTGTAATTTGGCTTAAATGATTTTTAGATGCATTAGTAATTGGGGTAATTGGTTGTTAAGGAGAAATCAGCCTTAAACATTAAAATCCAGAAAGTAATTTCTAGAGGTAACTGCTTAGTCACTCTGTCAGTTTTAAGTTTAAGGATTTACGAATGACTTTAAAACTCTCCTTTTTAAGACTTTTTTTTGCTTTTGCCTTTGCTGGCAGCATATGCTATGCTGATGATCAAACATTTGAGCAGTTCAAGGTGAGGGTCATTTGTGAGTGGGGTTGAGTGGTCTGTTGGGTCCGAGCCCTCCACCTCCAGGTCCTCTCCATGGTGCTGCCAGGGTAGCGTGGTTTTCAAAAGTCGAGTATGATTATCCAGTACATTGTGACGCATTCTATAATAAATACGTAAGCAGGTAACTCCTCCCCTAACATTTCTACAGTCTGTGGGATTCTGTAGTCTGTGGAAGAGGGAGGACAATCAGCAAGGTTTCCATACTTTTCTCCCTTCCTACATTGCAGACTTAAAACTTTCTAGAAAGTTTGGGTGCCTCTTTTTTAACAATGGTAGATCAGAATTATAATTTCCCATCTTGCACCATTTGGCCTTACAATAAAAAAGAGACTAAATTAACTGTTTGGTCTTAAACATTAATCTCACTCATCTCATAAACTCCTTTAGCATGTTTTACTGGATGTAATTCACACACATGTACATACACACAGTTCTCTCTCTTGGGGGGGAGTACATCTGAATATAATTTTTTCTCTTTTACGCTTAGTGGCAGCAATCTTCCTGGGAATGGATTTACCAGGACTGAATCTTCCTGATCCATGGAAAACCTATGCAATGATTGGGTTTGTAGCCTGGCATGTCGGGACCGAGATTGTTCTGGAGATACATGCTTACCGACTCTCTCGAAAAGGTAACCTGCTCAAACAGCCATGTTATGTCGAATCACTTTTACACAAACTATTGGAATATAAATAATTTCCTGATACTAATGGTTGACTATTACATGGTGGCTCATTAAAAATTTCTGTTGTGATTACTCAGCCAGTGGTAGAAACTGTGGACATTTTCTGTCTTTGTTTTTTTACATTCATTAGTATTAGAATTTGTGAATAAAATATAAAGGAAAGATTTTAGTTTTCAGAGAAGTCTTCTTTTTAAGTACTTTTTCTTTGTGTGCTGGTCTGATTTGGAGCCGGTACACACTAGGAATTCTGAGTGCCTGGAATTAGGGAACTGTGCCTGTGTTGGAGGAAGAAGACACTCAAAGTCGACACGGGGCAGAACTGTAGACAACTTGCCGACTTGACAGACTTACTGTGACAAGGTCGGGTTGCCATGTACAGAAATATATAACCAGGCGAAGAGTCCTCTGTGTCTTATCTAGTTTTCAGCCCCCAAAATAAGTGAGGTTGGCCTTCTACAGACAAAAACTCTTTGTTCTTTAGTTTATATGTTGTGAACCTATGAGCCTGGGAGGCTTTTAGGAGCTGAGTAGTCCTGCCTGCCACTTTTGGTTCTTGATAAGGTTACATACATGCGGCTTTTGATGACCACTGAATTATGGCCTACTGTTTAAAATACATATGGAGTAAAACTTTGATCATTATCACATTAATTAGATTGATTTAGCCTTTCCACGATATATACATATATCAGAACATTGTGCGGTACACCATAAATATATACAATTTTATTTGTGAGTTAAAAAAATAAAATTTAAAAAAGCAAACAACTTAGATTGTTAGGACTTCGATGTGGTGTTATTGACTAGAAGAAGAGGGTATATTTTAAGTCCTTTGACAAGTGTGTGCTGTAGCCAGCTTGTCACAATTTGTGAGAGGCTTAAATATTCAGGAAGTTTGCAACATTTAGTATCTTGAAATAGGAGAATTTATACCCTGGAAATTGGTGAACACTACAAATTTACCTGCATAACACTGTCCTTGTAAATTTTTGTTGTTCTCGACAGAGGAAATATTGGATGATGTTAGAATTCAGATCCTTCAGTCATTTACTGCAGCTGAAGCAGAGGTAAGTCCTTTTCTTGTTTATTGACACAACTTTAATGGTAGTACTTTCTTTCATATCTCAATTTTTCTTTCAGGGTCATGCTTTTAAAAAGGCAGTGTTGGTGATTTATGTCTGTGGGAATGTGACTTTTCTCATCATATTTTTATCTGCAATCAACCACCTATGAGCAAGCAAAGACCTTGGATTTTGCAGGCCAGGTGATAATTACCATCAAACCAAAGAAACTCGAAGCCTGTACTGACTCCCTGGAGCATATTTGTGAATTGTAATTTGGAAGACCAGGATCATTTCATAGAGGAATCCTGATGTCTAGTCTTTAGAGATCAACATTCAAGAGGGTCGTATAGACCATAAACTGACATCAATCCCTTGTGTGTGATTTTGAGTCTTAAAGGGAAGGTTGTACTTGTGTAGAAATGACTCTTCAAATATTTCATGCCAAGATTTTAAGAATGTTAGCATTTAAGAAAATAAACAAAGATGATTTGGAGAAACAACAAATGTCATCAGGATAAAAAGGAGATTGTGTTAAGGTAAATATACTTTGGACAACAAAGGTGCTGTGGTACTTTAAAGAAAACATTTATTTTTACTATTTTCTGACATGATCTATGTTCTGTGTATTTTGTTACTTCTCTGGTAAATGTGGAAGTGGAGCTGACACTATTGTAGATTTTATTAACATTTAAATATATTATGAATATTATAACTTCTTTCTTAGCAAGTATGCACCTTGTGCTTAAAGACTCTTTATATATTCAACTACAAAGCCGAAATGGCATTTTATATATTTGATTTAAGTCTTTATAGCATTTGGAGATTGTAGACTTGCATTTCAAAATTGGTAAAACTCACCCTTGTGGACATATCTAGCAGCTATTTTTTTTCCTTGTGAAAATTAAATAATATGGGTTGTTCTGTTTTGTTAGAAGTTCCTGATTATTGAATCAAAATAGTCAGTGTTATTTTCCTTCTATTCCAATAATATATCTTTTTTATTGTCGGGTCTTATATTTGCTATGAGGACTTCTAACCAGTGGGTGGCGCTGTAATACCGAAGTACAGTACGGCTCTGTTCCGGCTTCCTTGTGCTGATTCATTTTTCGTATTTAGATAACGTTAATGGAATGACATTTCCCTTAAACTTCAGCAACTGTTTCTAATGTTTATTTGAAAAATTTCTGCATTTTGAGCAATCTTAGATTATGGGTTAGAAACTTAAATTAGGGACCAATGTTGTTTTCTAGTTCATTTCTGTTTGTTTTCTATTATTTACAACAATTGTTTGCTATTTCCCTTCGCATTCCCCAGACCCTGTAACAAGTGGATACAACTGCCTAGTCAAAGGAAACAAGCAAAACCGGACATTTTTAAAATAAAAAAGTTTAGGAAGTTATACTTTATTTCTTTAAGTATTCTTTCTGACTATTTCGCAGTTTTTGCTTGGTCCAAGAACCTTATTTCTATTTGTTGCACATAATAGCCTCACCTGTGTGTCTTACATTTTTTACCAGGTAAAATGATGTGCAAGTTTTGTTTTTGTTCCTCATATAGGTGTTTATCGTTATGTAGCTTAGGGTTTGGATATGAACTTTTTGTGTTCATACTCTATAAAATAAAGATAAGCATGTTTTTCAGGTGCTATACTACTTACAGTCTAAACTTCTTTTTTGAATGTCTTTATTTAAGAAATAAAACCCCCCAAATACTTACTGTAGCAGATTAAATGTATACTAAAGTATTTTCCTCCAGTTTTCTGTTGTAAGGAACTTAAAGATTAATACATTTCCCTTAATAAGTTATATTCTATATCTGACAAGGAAAAATTCTTTTAAGGGAAAGATGAGCCTTGATGTGTTTAGTGTTCAAATATATGAGCTATTTTCTTTTTCTTTTTTTACTTATTCATATGTTGGCACGATTTTGCTGCTGGGCAGTATGGGATCCGATATGTTGACACTATTTTGATTCATCAACTGACATAAAGAGTTGTCCAAAGAAATCTTTGTCATTTAATCTTAATAGACTAACTCTTTTCTTTAGGACCAATTTATGATTCTTCCACTTACTATCCACAAATTGTGAAGGCCTATTGTTCACCCCTCTCAGTTTTTTTTTCTTATTTCTGTAATAAACCATCTGGGTATTCTTTAAAAATTATTTTTGATTGGAGTGATTACTAAATTAAACGCCCTTATTTATTTATTTTTTTAGCAATATTGCCAAAAGCTGAGCAAATTGTGTTTT